TCAAAACGACTGAATCTGTTTAGGCGAAGACATAATAGTGATATGGCAGAAGTTGCTATGTTCGTAGTGAAAGTGAGTGAGTGAGTATGGTTTTACGCCGCTTTTAGCAATATTCCAGCAATATCACGGCGAGGGACCGTAGTGAAAGAGGTAGAAGAATCAGGACAAATGTGTGCTTACAAGCTTATGCATCTGAAATGCATACAAGAGGGATTCATTATCAGTTAAGACATGGTGCTTCATTTGCTGCATTTAGAAGTGGCAGAAATGAGAGTACAAGAACACCCAACTGCATGTACTTCCATAGAGAACGGGCAGCCTCCCTGAATGTGAGAGGCTACCACACTAATGACGTCACGAGGGGGAATCCCTCTTGTTTCCTCTATAGCATGGCCGACGCCATGTTGAAAAAAACTCAAGTCGTCCATTTTGTGTAATGACACATGCCTACACAAATGCACGTTTGTAGAGCGAAATAAACAATGACAACATACAACTTCTATACACAATATTTAATATCCCCGTGCATGGGTTGGAGAGCCTCCCCAATCCACCCTTACAATCTATATACAAATGTCTCTTGAAATATACAAATACACTTTACACATCTCACTACCATGTGGTGGTGTCTAGTGGTGTGTGGTGGTGATGGTGGTGTGTTGTGGTATGTGGTGGTGGGTGATGGTGTGGTGGTGTGTGGTGGTGTGTGGTGGTGTGTGGCGGTGTGTGGTGGTGTGTGGTGGTATGTGTTTGTGTGTGTGGTGGTAGTGGTGGTGGTGGTGCTGTGTCTGCGTCTGCGTCTGCGTCTGCGTCGTCGTCAGCGTCAGTGGAACCACATTTTGGCATTCATCAGAATGTCTGAGATATAGTCCTATAGTCCTCCTAATTAGGAGATAGTAACTCCTAATTAGGAGATATTACGAGAAGTCCTAATTAGGAGATATTAAGTCCTAATTAGGAGATATTATCACCTAATTAGGAGATAGCTAAGTCCTAATTAGGAGATATTAACTCCTAATTAGGAGATAGCTAAGTCCTAATTAGGAGATAGTATCACCTAATGAGGAGATAGCTCTGTCCTAATTAGGAGATAGCTAAGTCCTAATTTAGAGATATATCACCTAATTAGGGAGATAGCTAAGTCCCTAATTAGGAGAGTTAACTCCTAATTAGGAGATAGTATCACCTTAAGGAGATAGTATCACCCAATTAGGAGATAGCTAGGAGTCCTAATTAGGAGATAGCTATGTCACCTATCACCTAATTAGGAGATAGCTAAGTCCTAATTAGGAGATAAAAATATTCTGAGTGGCACTAGGATGATTTCGTAACCCCCACCCAATTTAAAAGCCATAAATTATGCTCGTTCCCTAACCAGGTTGTAAACGGGTTGAATAGAGGGAATGATTTCGTGTGAGATTATTAAATCTCATGACAAAAAGAATAATTTTTAATTCACGAGTGCAAAATCGCAGCAAATTGTTATTCACTCACTCCTTCAAAATGTCTCTAGCCTGTTGTTCAATATTAGCATCGGCCTTATCAAGCTACGTCAAAGTGCCTTATAAAATTTGCCTGGAACAATGTAACAATGAAATTAACACCCAGAGGATATTTGTTCACAAGCAGTGTTGCGGGTGGGGAGGATGTGGGGTGGGATGTTTCAGGGGGTTCGGGGGTATTAATGAGCTACGGTCTCCAGCACGGTTATGTTAATGTTATAAACGTGGGAAAAACCCATTCCGACTAAAAATCCACGTCAGCCTGATTTGATTTTGTGGTGGTGTAGTTATCTATTCATAGACGGGAAAAACCCAAGTTTTCACAAATAGACGTGACGCATGTGGTGAGGCTTAACTGTGAGTAAATTGATCCCGAGAGCAATCTACTTCAATGGTAAGTCTTCTTTGTTTTAATCTGATTATGAGTTATGAATATTTATATTGCCAAGTTGATCCCAATACAAAATTATTGATTGATGTTATTGGTGGATGTGTGGAAATATTCAGATGAGTACAATTGAATACTGATTTGATTTGCATTAAATGTGCAATATATGCCCAGTTCCATATTCATGCCTTGCCTTGACTGTTATGTACCAGAACGTTTGAAAGGGCTTGACCACTCTATTTTCTTATAACCTTTAGCGAATCTTGCCCATTGCAGTGCAGGTTACATACATGCCTACACTTTCTGAGGTGTATTGACCCCTTAGATCAGAACAAGTTTATAGCAAAGCGTACTCTAAACTATTCACGGTTAGTTTTAACCCATCTTAGGATGATCCGACGGGTAGAATGGACGTCCTTGACAGTTTGCGACCTTTGACATTGAAATCCTACTCTCTTGGAAAATTCAACACCTATTATTACGAAAAGTTCTTTTGATCTGAATATTTTGAAAACTATAGGTCTTTAGTAACCCATGATTGTCGTAAGAGGCGACTAACGGGATTGGACGGTCAGGCTCGCTGACTTGGTGGACACATCCCAATTTCGTAAATCGATGCTCATGCTGTTGATCACTGGATTGTCTGGTCCAGAATCGATTATTTACTGACTGCGGCCATATAGCTTGAATATAGCTGATTGCAGCATTAGACAACAAACCAACCAATCTTTGAGAATGACTGACGTGTGGGATAATTGGTGACTATTTAACATGCACTGCTTGTTCGTGGGGTCACTTTAAAGGCAATTAGTGGATCAGACATGTATTAGATACACATCGCTAAATAACCTTTGGAGTGTCTCACCAGATATATCAGCCAAGCTAATGAATGGAGACACAAAGCCGGCGATCATAGCTTACAAGTGTAATGAAGTGTACGAGAGTATACATGGAGATGTTTGTTGACAACGCCGTGGCAGATGTAGGGGGTCTGTTTATAGGTTTAGGGTCAGTTCAAATAAATGGACTGCGCATTGCTTAATCATCGGCATGCGATTCATTTTCTAACTAAGTTAACTATAACTAAGTGGAGTCCAACATTCTACAAACAATATGCCCCTTCCTCTCTTGCTTCCTCCTCCCTCTCTTGCTTTTCCTCCACCTCCCCCACCCCTCCACGTTTGAGTTTGTGTTAGTGTGGTAATCTATTCTTAGACGGGGAAAACCCAATCTTCCAAAAATAGACCTGACGCTTGCGTTGAGGCGTAGCTACAAAAGGCAAATCCTCATTGGTAAGTATTGTTTGTTTGTTTGTTTCTATCTATGACTAAGACAGTCCCGGCCCCGCTTTCACCACCCAGTCCCATAGAGCGAATGTTCTTCTTAACTGATACGGGGAGACACGCACAGCTGTTTTGAAGTTCATGACTCGAGTTTGCTGGGACTGCCACTTTGCACAGAATGTGTCCCTTTAAACATTTTTCTCACTTGAATGTTGGCGCACATGCCTTTTTGAACATGCACTGGCTATGTGGCTATGTTTCTTTCTCAACGAGTGAGTTTAGATTTACGCCGCACTCAGCAATATTCCAGCTATATGGCGGCGGTGTGTAAAAAAATGATTCTGGACCAGACAATTCAGAATCGATTTTTCTGAAAAGCAAAAAGGATATGGTTTAAGTGAAGAGTATACAAATTCTCAAATACGCCGGAAAAGACATAATCTTCATGTCTTAAAGCTAATCTGCGTTACACGTGTGTGTTTTTTCTGAAGCCGGAAGTGATGTCTCTTAGATGGAGCCACAATTGCAAGATTGATTTATTTGACATACATGTACTATCTTTTTCAGTGCTCTTCCCGGGAAAATTGCAGACCCTAAAATGAACTGGAAGCGATTGGGATATGCTTCAATCTTGGTGAACGTTGTGCTGTTATTGTCGACTATAGCACTATGGACAGTGTATCCCGACCTGGCACAGAAGCGGAGCTCGCAGGTTAGTTAAGTCGTGTTCATATAGGGATATGCCTATTTAATAATACACATGACGTCAGACAAGCTTTACATAAACAGACGTATTTTACTGACCAACTTTCCGGAAGAATATGAAAATTGAATACAAGTGTCGAGCAGTTTTGAGTTAATACATACGAGTTATGAACACACACACACACACACACACACACACACACACGCACGCACGCACGCACGCACGCACGCACGCACGCACGCACGCACACATACGTACGCATGCACGCACACATGCACACACAACAGGTTTGAACAGGATTGTGTTTGAACAGTCAAAACATTAATTGTCATTTCATGTATTTCTTACAGGTGGTGGTTATCGAAATCCTGACACGGCAAGGTAAAACACTGATCATATGAAGAGTTGGTAGGGATGCTTTGCTTAATGTGCCTTTGTGTCATAAGCTCACGTATTCAGCACTATAGTGCGTTTCATTTGCATTGTGAAGGGTCAGTGTGGTAGGCTTGTGTGCTACAGTTCGCTCGTCAGGCCGAAGACCTGGGATCGATTCCACGCATGGTTACACAATGTGTGAAGCCTATTTTCCACCGTCATATTGCTGGGATATTGCTCAAAGCGATGTCAAAATTCACTACTCACATTTTAATTAGAGCAAGGGTGGCCCTGTCGACTTATCTGTGAAGAGTTACGCTATACACCTGTGATTCCGGGTTGGAAGCCTGGTTTTCCCAGATTATCTTTTTAAGTGTGACAGCCCAGCACCCGAGGGTATTACTCCTTAAGTGTTAAACATCTCAGATCTGCATTGGTTCGGTGGGGTAGGCCAGTGGTTAAAGCGTTCGCTTGTTACGCCGAAGACCCGGGTTCGATTCCCCACGTGGGAACATTTGTGAAGCAAATTTCAGGTGTCCCCCGTGATATTGCTGGAATATTGCTAAAAGCGGTGTAAGACTAAACCCACACACTCAGACATGCATCACTTGGAACCTCCCTAAGTTCCCACATTTAACTGCCTCCCGTGATATCGCTGGAATACAATTAAAAGAGGCGTTGAACCCAACTCACTCACCCACTTGGGATGTTTACAGTTAATCAGTCCCACTCTGCAGACGCCAGTGTTTTGTACCAGGGAGACTTGGAAATGTTCAATCCCACTCGACCAGTCCTCCACCAAGGCTTCATGATACACCGCTCGTCTAGTGGTAAGTTTCACGTGTTCAATTAAATACAATTAAATGTATTTATATAAGTACAATAACACAGATAGGACAACATGAAGACAATATTCAACGGCAATATTTGTGCACATTTCAGTTGTGTTTTGAACCAAAAGCCTCAAGCTACCACTTCTGTAACGTTGATGTTTTTCCTGCAAATCTTCTCTTCAATTTATTGTCTCCTCATTTCTCCTCATTATTCTGACATTACTTTATTTTTCTTCACAAAAAAGAAATTTCGAGGATTTTATCGTCGCTTGGATCGGTTAAAATGAAACTTGAAGAAACGAGAAAATACTCGAAAGTTCAATAAAATAGTTTAAATAACGAGAAAATGATCAAAGCATCGAAAACTGTCTCTGACAAAACATAATTCATGCTACAAAATTGGCAACATTAAGGCATTGCAGGGAGAAGGCGATCATAAGTGGTGCACCTGTGCCTTATCCCGTTATCTTTTGGACAATAAAATATGTTTAAACCAAAGACATTGACAGTAGTTTTGCCTGCAAACCATGATATATCTTACAGGCAGCAGCATTGTCAAGGTGGACATTGGTGCTCCTCGAGTAGCGATGACCGCCTTTCTCCAGGGTTTCCAATTGGATAATGGCGACGTTTACGTGCCTTTATCCGGCTACTACCTCTTCCACATGGACGTGACCTACTTCTTCCGGGGTCACATCGACGGGTCACAGGTCAACGTGTACGTGACGTGCACCCGGTCCGACTCAAAGGAAGTTCTTGTAAAGATAACTCAATGGTGTCGGATAGGGAGATATTGTTCTGTTACATTCCATGGCATTTCGTTTCTGTCTCAGGGTCACATTGTTTACTGCGAAGCCAGCCATGCCAATGACATGATCACAGCCATTGAGAATACTCACATCAGTCTTGCATTATATTGAATATGCTTGTTTTTGGCATAGCGCTTTTACATTTGTTTTCCTCATTTATCTGAGCCAGTTTAAGCTATTAAAAAGGCATTACTGATTTATATTATGCTTATATTTTGTTTGCTGTTTAACTCCGCTCTCAGCTCTCCATTTATGTAGCGGCTGTTTGTAAGTAATCGAGTCTGAGCCTGGGAATCCAGTGGTTAAGATCATGAGCATCGATCAACGCACACGATTTTGTCAATTAGATTTTCACTATTTATCATTGAACCTTGCTACTATTATTGTTGCAGGTAAAAACTGCAAGTTATACAAAGCTCTTACAAAGCCTATAGTGCGACAGCAGCCAAATCAAGGTTCTTTTTCGGAGTAAATGCATCAGTGAGTTTAGTTTCACGCCGCTTTTAGCAATATTCCAGCAATATCACGTCAGGGGACACCAGAAATGGGCTTCACACATTGTACCCGTGTGGAGAATCGAACCCGGGTCTTCGGCGTGAAGTGCTTACGTTTTAACCATTAGGCTACCCCTCTGTCCCGGAGTGGGGGCGGTGGGGTAGTCTAGTGGTTAAAGCTTTGGCTCGTCACGCCGAAGACCCGGGTTCGAATCCCCACATGGGTACAATGAGTGAAGCCCATTTCTGGTGTCCCCCGCCGTGATATTGCTGGAATATTGCTAAAAGCGGCGTAAACCAAACTCAGTCAGTCTGTCCCGGAGTAAAAAAGGGGAGGCAAACCCACTATTAGTTCATCCTAACACTTGCACAACAAGGAGATTTAACGATTGCAATGGAAATAACCCCAAGAGTGTTTTTGAAACAATCGCTTTATTGTTTCACAACTGGATTCAATGACAAATTTATGTAATCAGTACGAATACAATTGTGGAAATTGGTCAGATCAGTGCGTTGACGGCAACTTCATCCGATTATCTTGACTGGCCCAACCGATATCCACTGTCCGATGAGTTGTCGGATCCTGGCTCTGGCTTGAGTGAGAGCAGCGGTGTCCGTGGCAGCAGGAGTTGCCATGATTGGGATGTGGCCAGCACCTGCAGCATGCAACAAACTACAACATTACAACATTACAACAATACAACAAATACAACTTCCTGCACCTCCAAAGAGATTGCCGTTAGGTTTTCACATGTTTTCCTCACTGTGTAAGTAGGAGGCGGGGTAGCCTAGTGGTTAAAGCGTTCGCTCGTAACGCTGAAGGCCCGGGATCGATTCCCCACATGGGTACAATGTGTGAGGCCTATTTCTGGTGTGCCCAGCTGGAATGTTGCTAAAGGTGGCGTAATACCAAACTACCTCACCATGAAGCTGTTATTTCCAGTGTAGTGTAGTTCAAAATGGCTTGTTATCATTTGGTTCTGGATTTCGTGAAAGAAATACACCCTTAGTTGGAGATTTGTGTTTGCAGATGAATTGTTACTGCCTCTGATATTGTTCTAATGTTTCGTTGGTATTTTTATTTATTCCATAAACCAAACTTTATATTTGATCCTGTATTTGTCTAACGCAAACCAGCATAGTCGTCATCGGTTATCGAGTGAGTGAGTGAGTTATGTTTTACGCCGTTTTTAGCAATATTCCAGCAACACCACGGCGGGGGACACCAGAAAATGGGCTTCACATATTGTTCCCATGTGGGGAATCGAACCCGGGCCTTCGGCGTGACGAGCAAACGCTTTAACCACTAGGCTACCCCACCGCCCCCATCGGTTATCGAATAGAAATCAGTTAAATTATGATTTATTATGTTCGTGTTCTATGTTAATATTTATTTGATCTCCCTCTTACTTTTGTTACCCCTGTGTATTGTTTAAAGCCGCACTCAATTTTATTCCAACGATATAAGTAATGAAGTATGAACCAGTCAATCCAAGGATTGACATCATGATAGTCAGTCTACACAACGGGAAACGACGACATGCATCAAGCACCTCGACGAGCCTGACCATTCGATCTCCCTCAGTCGCCCCGTACGACAAGCATGTGTTGCTGAAGACGAGGTCTAAACCGGGTCTTGTTTCCCCCGCTTCTATTCTTCATGTGACTCAATTATACCATTTGACAAAGATAATGACAATACTTTATTACCCGTGAGGGAATTCTTTGTAAAGTACAGAGCTCAAACATTGATAAAATGATTAAATTATTTTCATACAATAAATAACTGACATATAACACGCTAACAAGGTAAGACAAACACTAGGAATCATTTAGGGGGATTAATACTGGCAGGAATAAAGGATTTCATGGCACGATTGGATTTAAAACGGGGTAAATTATAACGGCGCCCAGAAGGCAGTAATTTATATTCATAGTGGACGGGATGATCTGAATCAGATATAATCTTACGGGCTGACCTGAGAACTCTTTTTTCATATATTTCATTTAGGTTAGCAAAAGATACACCTGCAATTTTACTGGCTAATAAAACAATTCGGGTGAGACAGTTTCTGTTTTTAAGGGACAAGGTTCCATACCAGCATTGCACAGAAAAAGCCAGAACACTCTGTATAAAGCACTGATAGAAAAGACACATAATATAACATAAGCAACATACAATGTGTTTGTACCAGTCCATCAGAAGTTACCACAAAACTAAGCAACGTATCATAACTACATCAATGTTTTCTTCCAAATATTTAAAAAAAAGTGAAGGGTAACTTAACTCGTTTCCAGCTGAATACTTCCCCCCCTATAAACACATTTAACCATATCGTGACATGAAGGATTAAACTTACCGTTGATGACAACAACATGGGCCCCCGGGTTCGGGTCTGTCCTAAATCCATACTTATAAAATGGGTCAAAGGATCCTTGGCTGTAGACGATGTTGGTGTTCTTTACGTCAAGCCCTGCGTAGTTGGTAATTAAGTCCTCGTGGCCTTTCAGAATCAGAGACCGGTTGAATTCATGACCGAAGTAGCCTTCACAGCCTTTGAGAAAGTATCTGGAAACAAAGGAATCACACTATCAACGTTTATACATCAGATCGTTGTTGGGTTAGAAAGATGAGATGTTTGTCAGTCTTCAGTCAGGATTTCAGAGAGTTAGGATTTCTACGACAATATGTATATCTGGTCTGGGTTTCGTGTTTATATCCTCAGCATATTCATAACAGCCCGTTTGATTTCATTTGAGACCGATGAATTGCTCACTAACACAGAATCTAATAACCGCAACAGGACCAACTTTTGCACAGTCACATGAAATCGACAGACCAACTATGATTATTTGTCTTATAATTATGGGCAAAATTTGTTTAACAAACGATCATTATTTTCTTGTCACATTTCGTTATTTGTTTTACGATGGGGAGTGGGGGGACTACTTGTGTTATTGAGCAACACATCGGTCTCAAATGATATGAAACGGTTAGTAACTAGGAGAATCTTGCCGACTCCTCAGTGCGAAGGAGCGGAAGTATATCCATTGTCAAAATGACAGGTGATGAATTAAGAGCTGGTCTAACCTCAAACTTTCAAACAGCCATTTCAGCTTCCGCACATTCTCTGTATAAGACTCCTGATTATCATCTGAGGTATATCCGTGCAATTCGTCTTGTAGATCAACCCGTAACGATCCGCGTTAGAATTAATCTTCAGCAACCTATTCTGGTGAGCTAACTAGATCAAGTGGTCAGACCCCATGAATTCAATCATCGTCATATAGCCGTAGTATTGCTGAGTATGATGTTTAACATACAAATGTACGATGACTTTAAACAATCACACAATCCTCGCCTTTGAGAATTCTCAACAACCAGCTTGGGTTCTTAGAAACTATTCAGGACAGGAATCCCGACACAACACAGGCTACAACGTGTACATTTATAAAAGTACCTACAAGTTGATTTGACTTGTGAAGTATAAGATCACACAATGCCTGCACTTACTCTTCACTCACGGCTTGTCCGAAGGGTTGATTGTTTGCATATGTTGGAGTAAACAAACCAGTCTGAGTGCACTTCTGGTACCTCCACTGACGTCCTGCAAAGTAAATCTTTGTTTCAACAACTGGACACAAATTTGCTCACATTCAGATTGTATCCTGAAGTATGCGTTCACTCGTGTTCGCGCTGTTCCCTCCTAAACCATAATCCAACCTCGTCTTTCGACTTAACGTTTAATGTACATTGAGACTTTACAACTGAGAATGCCTTCTCTTCTTCTGAACATATTCACAATACTGTACTTACAATAGCCCGTATAACAAGAATGAGTGGACATGAAACCAAGATTACACCACAAACAAATAAGTTTTTAAAAGAATATTTTGTACTGAGAGAAGAATGCTTTCATAAGCACGGGGCGCTCCGCATTTCTTTGTTTGTTGTTTAATGCTGCACACAGCAATATTCCAGCTATACGTCGGCCGTCTGTAAATAATCGAGTCTGGACCAGACTTTAGTGGGTAACAACATAAGCATCAATCTACGCAATTGGGATACGACATGTGTCAACCAAGTTAGCGAAGCTGACTACCCGATCCCATTAGTCGCCTCTTACGACAAGCATCGGTTGCTGAAGAACAATTCAAACTCGGATCTTCACGGTTTCCCAACCAGCTCTGAACAGTTGGGGCGTATTCTTGTGGCTCAAGACAAAGGTCTGGGTTCGATTCCCCACATGGCTGCAATGAATGGAGATCATTTCTAATGTCGTCCCCGTGATATGTTTTTGAATACGCAATAAATCATACTCAGTCACTCTAAGGTTTCGTTGCCTTAAATAATTGAGATAACTGTATAACTTGTTCGTAGCTAATGAGAACCAACAATACCTGACAATACGTTTTTGTCGCTGTAGTTTATATCGCTGCCCAAGCTCACTGCTCTCTCGAATGTAATGTTCATACATTGACCGTTAAGGGATGTATAATTTTGATTGACGATCCCAGCATAGGTTGCAAATCGTTCTAGCGGCGTCCCTGCTGCTTTGTCAGTGAGCAGTTTACACATGGTAGACACGGATCGAACGGGCAGGGCACTCTGAAAAAAGATTGGCATACAACATCACGTTTGTGTTTGTACTATACGGGTCACATACACATCCTTGATAACACAGTTCTATTGTCTGTCATGTCGTATTTGTGAGTGAGGGATTGAATATGTTTTTACGTCGCTTTTAGCAATATTCCATTAATATCACGGCAGGAGACACAAGAAATAGGTTTCACACATTGTTCCCACGAAAGAAATTGAACCCGGCTTTTGGCGTGAAGAGCGAACGCTTTAACCATTTGTCTACCCCACCACCCACGATCACGGATTAAGAACATGTGTAAATAATAGCACCCACCATGACATTGGGAATGTCCTGATTGAATAGTGCTGTAAAATCAATCAGGCTTACAAGATTCATCATCAAATTCTCGATGTCCAGTTTGTTTGAAACATTGAAGTCACATAACCTGTAATAAAAGTAACATGTCATTGCGTATTCGTATGTATTAATTAGGAGATAAACGTACTGTGTTGGAAAATCAGAGGTATATAACGGAATTATAATAGCTCTAAATTTGATTTGAAACCGAACGCGTAGCATTAGGTTTTAAATAGAAAATTTAGAGCTATTATAATTTCGCTATATGCCTCTGATTTTCCAACATTGAACGTTTATCTCCATTCTACCACAACCGTGTTATTAAGATTAAAGAAGAATACATCTCCATTCTACCACTACCGTGTTATTAAGGTTACATAAGAATACATCTCCATTCCACCATAACCGCGTTATTAAGATTAAACAAAAATACATACAGTGTTGGTAAATTGGAGGTATATAACGTGCTTATATACCTATGAATGACTTTGATTAACCAATCACAATCCAGTATTTACTGAAGTCATGGTAGAATACATGATGTTTTTCTGCGGAAAGAAAAGGATGTGTTTAAACCCTTAAGTAACCGGACTATGACCATTGTATGCCATTTTCACAAGGTGGGACACATGGTTCTTTGTGTTCCTTAAACATGTTGAAACATATGCTGATACAGGAACGTCCGTCGCGGCAGAACAACGGCAACAAATGAACGTGGGTAGACTCCAACCCCAGCACTCGTGGGTATTCCGTGTTTGAATTTAGCCACAGCAATTTTTGTTCAAACGTATGCTATTCTATGTAACATATGTTATTTTGGGGATTACACTTCCTTAGTAAAGTACAGATTCAAGTACTTTTTGGGATTGAATCCCATCCGGGATTCGAACCCACACCCTCAGAGTTAGGCATCTAATCGCCAGCACTCAAAGTCAGCCGCCTAACCCGCTCAGCCACCGTGACTTCCACATTTGCTATTCGTTAGAGGCGAGTAAGTGGATCGGATCGTAGCACACACGTATTCCACACATCTGTGTGTGTGTGTGTGTGTGTGTGTCTCTCTCTCTCTCTCTCTCACTGTATGTCTCTCTATATGTGTGTGTGTGTATGTGTGTGTGTGCGTGTGTGTTTGTCTGTGCAACAACACACCTCACCTGAAGAGCGACTGCAGCTTCTTGACGCCAGCATCCGTCTTGAGACTTGCCCTGATTTCATCAAAAATACCTGACACTGCCTCGTAGCATCCTGATTCTGTGCGCAAATCTTCTCCGACAGTAACATGGTACTCTGAAAGCGTTTACCAAAAAAGATTGATTATAACAGACTATTTTGATTTACACGGACACACGTATAACAAAACAAGATTGATTACAAAAATAGATTGATTATGATTTGACACACGTATAAATACCTGCGGCAAACAATCACTGGATTGTCTGGACCAGATTCGAGTTTGTACAGGCCGTGGTCACTGATACAGACAGACAGACACATACTTACCTGTGATAAACACCGGCGAAAGGACTGGCGCACTGTCAGCTACAGCTCCCGTGACGAGATGGGGGAACTTGTACTGGAACCATGTAGTCAACAAACCTACCATTGAAATGAACATTGTACAAATTCATGTGTTAAATAGCAATTTTGGTTTAAAGAACCACTAAACTTTGTATTTTGTTACTCTTTTAACCATTACATATGAAAGATTTGTGGTTAGTCTTATGCGGAACACCAAATTTATTCTTTAAAAACTTGTGGTTAATTAATACCGAGCGATTAAAAGTGGCCAAAAAGTCGCCTGCTTCCCTCTCGCCCGCCAACGAAACCACAGACAGGTTACGTAACTCTGTGGCCAGAGCACTGCAGTGACGTCATATGAGGAACGATTTTCAGTTAGTTGTATAGAAAATGTGTAGCACGCTCATCATTTTGATGATTTCTCGACATCAACGACGACATGCCGAATCGTTGCTTTGTCGTCAATTGCTCTATAGGGGTCGGGCGATGGTGTCACCATGCACAGATTTCCACAGGACCCCGCAGTTCGTGCTAAATGGGTTATGTTTTAGAGTGCGAAGCGAGCGTTGTGGAAGCCTGAAACGATATCTTACTTGTGTTCAGATCGCTTCACGGAAGTTAAAGAATCAAACTACTTACTAGTTGTAGTAAAATATGCATATGATTGATGACCATAAAGATTTTCTATGACACAACTTGTAACATAACGATTTCTTCCTCGAAGAAGGTTGTGGTCGAAGTAACAATAATATTGTAAGTAGTATTATATTGATGACTCCACCTCGCTGCCGAGAGAGAAAATGTTATGATATAGTTATGTCATGCAAAATCCTATTGGCCATCATCAAAATACATATTTTTACTACCAGTAGAAAGTAGTTTTGATTTTAGAACTCGGTGAAAACAAACCTAAATACCATTTATCCTCAGACTGGCGGATGTTCCTGACAGGCGCCGCCATTTTTAAAAATAAAAAATCTGTTAAAATAATGAGATTATAGTTTGTTTTTCATCAAGTTAGAAAATCAAGACTACTTTCTACTCGTTGTTAAATATGTATTGGAATCATAACCAAACGGATTTTGCATGACACAACTTATAACATAACGATTTCTTCCACGGAAGCGAGGTGGGGGTCGAAGTCACAATACTGCGCGATAAATTTCTTGCTTCATTCACATGGTTAATGTCCACTCACCAGTATGTAGATACTAGTCACTGTGCGTCTTTATATTTGGTCTTATAATCCTAATTAGTTTATTATCACACTTGTATGCATTTTGAAACTAAATAAAAAGCAGACGATCTGCTGATACTTATAATGAATTTATAACAGAACTGTAATATCTAGACATTTTATAGTTTGCCAATGTGAATCATAATTCGCAACACACACCCTAGTGCATGTTGTCTGTCTCATTACACTTCACGGCGAAAACAATGATTCTGTTGAATGCTACGACAAATGAATAAAACAAAATGCAAATATTAAAATTAAAACAGATTAAAGTTATAGGAACAATATCAGGCCATTACCTTGTTCGAGGAATGTATCCATCAATATCCACAAAACTGTTCCAAATGATGTGTCTTTTAACAGTTTAATATACGAAAAAGTGATAAATCTTTTCAGGTATTGGTGTATAGTCTCATTGGTCACCCAAGATAGCACACCTGGCAACTAATTGCATAATGTCCGCCTTTCTTTAAAAACAGTAATTTAGTTAGCCAATAATGGGCAATCAATCAATGTATTGCCGGTTAATCCTTTGAAAGAAGGACGTTGTTTTACGCAGACACCGACACGACAGAGTGTATTCAGTATAGATTAGTAAATCTACATACATAAACACTACCTTTGACAATTCCGCTGTGTAAGATAAAAGTAATTAATCAATGAGCGTGTTATCGGTTAATCCTTTGATCGATGTTTATAATGTTGAATATTTACTCCAGACACAAGAAATGCCAAATGGGAACCTTTGTCGGGTAATCTAAGTGTGTTACCACTAATTATACCTGCTATAAATTCATTAACTGACCATCAAGTGAATGATGACAAATAACATGTGTAGGTTTATACCACCTAACACGGGTTACAACGAGGGAGTATTAATTGCCGTATTGCGTGTGAAAAACTTATGGGCCGACACTGTTTTGAGAATACAAACAGATTTTACATGACATGATTAAATATCGAGGTAAAACAACACAGAAATGGGATCAATTTGGATCAGTCATTATACAAATAGGGCCTAACGACACACCAATCGATTTTGACAGAATCGTCTATGAAAACAAGTTGTAACTCGAAACTAGGCAAAGCAGGAGACAAAATTAAATGACAGTAGATTGTGAGAACATATAGCTTTCATTTTCCACAACAATTGTCACGATTTCAGGTTTATACAAGCCTGTAAACACGATAATTTACCCCCTAAAATGTAGATGAATTCTGCATCGGCTCTCAAAGCTATTCCTCATATGACGTCACAGAGGCGCGCCGCTCTGATTGGTTGAAATTTCGTTCGCGGGTGAGAATTGTGCACTGTTGTCAAAAAGGTCGATTTAAGTCAATTAAAGGTCGAAATGAGTAGTTTTAATGACGGGGTTTCATTTATAACGATGCCAGTTAGTGATTTATGTATTTGTACCCCCTAGGGTTTATGTGACCTTTAAAGCAATGTTGAGATTTGGTGGTCAGGGTTGCTGACTTTGCTCAGACATGTCATCGTATCTATAAAGCCTACACCAACGCTCATGATATCAACCCCTGGATGTGGTCTATTAAACAAATAACAACCAATCTGGGAAAGAAACTGAAGCATGTATAGCTGTACAATAAAATCAACCCAGTTTCTTCCTGAGATTACGATTTGCGTATTTCGAATTATAGGCCTGTTCTAAGAGCTGGAATATAGCTAACTGCTGCACAAAACATTCTTTGCTTGTTCTCGGTCTTAGTAGTTTTCTTGCATGTTGCCAACACCAATCCGATGGGAGGAGATGTCAGTAACGTGCATCTGATGCCAACATACTACCTGCGTAGGATCCACCAAATATGATCCACTTCGGGTTCTTGAAGTTGCGTTCCTTGTTTGTCTCGACTATGAAGGTAGCGAAGTCCTCCTGCGCTTGTTCAACGGTCAGGTATTGTAGTCCCTGGCAATGCAACAAACAACAACGTTGTGAAGAATATGACACTGATTGATGATAAAGTGACAAGTCCATGAACCGTCTAGACCATTCCACCCCTGAACAATTGTGTCTTGAATCAAAAAGTAATTGTGTCTCGGTCCTTTATTCACTCATAAATCACACAAATATTTCTTCTGAAAGTAAATTCATTGTAAACTAT